AACTCACAAACGCCTAGTCTCTATTTACTTGTGTCTTTCATTTATCGCTATTTCTCACAGAATATAACGAACATCTGCTTCAGTCGTTACAGGGTATCGTAGATATAGGCAGCACGAAAAAAAAATAAAACAAAACAAAATAATTGTGTTAAAAAAAATCTACTATTTATTATACGGGTTTAATATTTATATATGTATATTTAATAATGGATGACATCAATAAAATTTTTCAACAAGCTGATTCAGATGGAACTGGCTATCTTAATAAAGAAAAACTTCAAAATATATGTCCACATTTATCTTCATCGGAAATTGAAATTATATTTCGTGATCTCGATACAGATCATGACAATCGTATAAGTTTGGCTGAATTTACACGTGGTTTTAAAGAACTTATAAAAGGAAATGATACAGATATGATGCAATTACAACTCAATGAAGTATTCAATAATCTATCATGGTATGAAAAAATAATAATAATTTTAATACATTTTATTGATGATTAATTCGATTAGAACTAGTTAGGACATTTTGACTATTAAAATATTTCTCATATTACTATGTCACAACTAGGTCATATATAAATATATGTTTAAGTATATAATATGAAAATTTATCTTGACTGTTATTCGATCATGTCAACACTTACAATATATATCGATGAATACATTTCGCTCTTTTCCAGTTACAGTCGTTCTTACAAACGCTCACCTGAATGAAAAGTAAAAAGTATTGACTACTTAGTTAAAGGAATAACGTGTTATTTTTATAAACACAGTTGTGTATGGATTTGTGCATATTCGAAAGAGAAAGGAGACGAAGAAGAGAAGGAAAAGAAAAAAGCGAGTAGACAGAGAAGAATAATCGTAACGACAACGGCAGTAACAAACGACCCTTGTTGTTTTGTTCTCATCACAAATAACAGACATTTTTTTACTGTAACTATTTCGATCGATTAAAATTTGATGATGGATGTAGTCGAGGTGAATAATGTTATCGAAAATATTTTTTCCAAGTAAGTCATCATCTATATGTATATTGACGATTAAATAGATAGTTTTCAAAGAAATAAATAACAGCTAAAGGCTTTATTTGAAATTTATATAATAAATGACCAACATATATTTTTCATAAGCAAAACAAAAAAAACATTTTTGTTTTTCTATTTAAATATTTAATTTTTCTAGTCAAGAACAAATTTATGATTTTTATGAAACATTACGAAATGGATCAAGTGAATCAGTTGAACAATTTCGATCAATTCTTGAAGTAGTTGTATGTGATATAATTAAATATCGTAAAGAGATTAAACGATTAGAAGATTCATATAAACGGTAATGAAACAAAAACGAAAAAAATATATATATATATAATTTCTTTTGTTTTATATACATATAAACAGAGAAAAAGAAATGAATGAAAATTACTTAAGACGTATGGAAGAAGATCAAGAACGTGAAATGCGTCAATTAGAAGATAAAATTCGTAAAGAAGTCTGTGATTATTTTTTATTAAATAACTATTTTCTAAAAATAAATATTTATTTTGAAATAGGAACAAAAAAAATTTGAAGCGTTACGAGAATCAATTCAACAACGTGCATCAAAACAAATATCTGATTTACAAGCAAATGTTCAACGTTTACAAGCTGTAAATGTTTTTTTTCTCACTAAAAATAAAAGTAATGCTATATTTTAGATTGAACAATGTTATCTTGATCGTCAATCAAATGAAGATTCATCAATTGGTTTATTGCGTGAAGACATTTCGAAATTAACACATGAAAATCAAACACTTAATTCATCATTAAATGATTCATTAACTAGTATTGCAATATTAAAAAGTGATTTACAATCATTAAAAACACAGCTCAATGAACGACAAGCAATGTTATTACAGTAAGAACATATGTAATTGATTTATAAATTTAACTAGAATGTTTAATGTAGAGAAAAACAAGCATCATCAAATAGTTATCGTGAAAAAGAATCATTACAATCAAATATTCGTCAACTTGTGTATGTCAAATAAGATTTATCGAAAAAAATTTATATATACATATCTTTTTTCTTTGTAGTGAAGTCAATAAAAAACTTCGTGATGAAAATGATACATTACGTGAAACGATTGAATCAAATCAATCTGCTGTTTCTCCTTCCGATGTATGTATTTAATTATAAAAGAAAACAAAACTATGTCTCTCAATTTATATAGATTCCTCTAGCATCAAAACGATCGATATCTCGAACTGGATCAATTCTTGAGAATTATTGGACTACGAATAATCCTAAAATGGACTGGTATGTCTACATCTAGAAACAAAAAAAAAAGTTTAACTATATTATCTTAAAATATGAACTTTCTTACAATTCTATACATCAAAACAAAGAATCGATGATAAAGGTTAAAGATTGACATGAGTTATAGGACTTCTATTCAGTTTAAGAGATGTCAAAGTTTAGAATATCATGGGCTAATCTGAATCAAGATTTTTCTCGTCTAATCTAAATATTATTGTCGAAAACTACTGCTTGTCACACCTATATGCTATCTATATTCAGACATGGCATTCTAAGTTTTTTTTGACATATGTGAGAACAGATCGATATAAAGAAACCTGGCGATATTGTTTCTGAAGGTTAAGTTCTTCTTAATCTCTGTTTTAAAGCAGTACTTCAATGTGATAGATAACAATATTAGACAATTAAATTGGTAGAATATTTCGTTAAAACAAAAACCGAAGAATAGTTCTATATTTGCCTATAATTTATAGCATCTCTTTAGCAGAGTCCTCGCAAATGACAGAATAAATATCATGTGGAGAGTAAATTAAGTTTACAGTCATTAATCAATGTAGAAAGTTAGCGGAGAAGTTGTTATGATCTAAAAGCTTTTGGTCAACGACAGATGGCTAAAGAAAATATTTAGATGAAAATAACCAGTCGAAATGACTTTTGTCATTAGCATAATGATATGTAGGACATATGTCATTGTTAAAGAATAAGTTATTGATGAATGTGATTGTTTTAAAAAATAAACTAAAAATCCTAACTAACTCCAATTCTATCTAATAGTTTTTATTAATATTTTTTTATTCAAATTAGTACATCACCCACATATATGCAAACAACTCAACTACAATCATCCAGTCTTAGAACAATCAATTCATTTGATATCGAATCAACTGATGAAATAGGTATAACTGCAAACAAAAATTCATCTAAATCTACACTCGATGTTGCTGAAAGTTCATCACAAAAAGCTTTACCAGCAATATCAAATTCATTTTCTACTAATACAGCTAATAGGAGCAATACTATGAATGGTTTGTTTTGCATGCGAATATAGTATATCAAAAAATTTTTCTATGATTATTAAAAAAAAAGCAAAATGCCTTCTCTTATTCGCAAAGCTTCAATCTAATTAAATTTTTATATTTATATATATATATCTTATTACAAATTAAATATTTTTTGTAAATAGATAGTGGTTTATCATTAACAACAGTACGTGATGTAACTGAATTTGAATCCGATCGTGATTTCAATCTAATGTCAAGAAATTCAAAACAATATCGATCGATGCCTATAAAACGTAATAATGATGATACTGAATCTGATGATGTTTTTGATGAGGTAAATTTTTAATTGATATTCTATGCAAAAAAAACTAATTAAAACTTTTTTTTAATAGAATTCATTTGATCGTAATAATCCAAAACGATGGTCTCAACAGCGTTCAATAAAACGAACATCTAGTGATGGACGTTCTTCATTAAAACGTTCTACCAATAAATCCTTTACATCTAATATTATGCCTATGCGAAAACAGAGTGGATCATCAATAGCAGATTTCCAACAAGAACAAAATATATCAAATCTTCCATTTGAGTAAATAAAGAAAAAAATTTCTTTTATCAGTGTTTTTAAATAATCTCTTTATATTTAGTCGTATGTATAAAGTTGTTTTTTGTGGTGATGCAGCTGTTGGTAAAAGTACATTAATAATGCGTTTATGTAAAGGAAAATTTATTTCAAATGTTAATTCTACATTGGGTGTTGATTTTCAAAATAAACAACTCGAATTAGATAATAAACGTATAGCTATACAATTATGGGATACAGCTGGACAAGAAAGGTTAGAAAATAAATGATTATATTCTTAATTTTTTTTTGTTTTTATAGATTTCGAAGTATTGCAAAATCATATTTTCGTCGATGTGATGGTGTTATTCTTGTTTATGATGCCACATATGAACGATCATTTTTAAATGTTCGCGAATGGATTGATACAATATCAGAATCAACACCTAAAAAAGTTTCAGTTATGATTGTAGCAAATAAAATTGATTTAAGAGATCAAATGCGTTCAGAAGGAAAACGCGTTATTGAACGTGAAGATGGAGCAAGATTAGCTAAAGTTTGTTTTAAGAAACTTCAATCCATATTTTCAAATTAATTATTTACAGGAATATCAAGCATTATTTATTGAAACAAGTGCAAAAGATGGTACTAATTCAAATGAAACACTTATAGAATTAGCTCGGTAAATGTTATTAATAAAATTAGTAATAAAATTTTTATTTCTTTTTATAGAGACATGCAATGTAATGAAGATTTAGAACGTTACCGTGTAAAGGGAATTGATTTAGATAAAACAACGAAAAAATCTACATGTTGTGGTAGTAAATCTTAAATACATAAAGAAAAGCAAGTTAGACTTTGTTCTCGTCATTCTATATTTCGTTTTCATTTTTTGTTATATATATATAAGTATGTGTATTTTTTTTTAATTGAATGACCGAGTCAGTTTTTTTGTTCATTTTGTTATTTATTGAAGTATTAGATTGGAACAAGTGTAATTTATTATCTCAGTTTTCTTTTCAGTTGTACATACACGTTTTTCGGTTGAATCGTACGTTAATTCTTTGAAATCGTGTGCGTTATTGTTCATTTTTTTTCCTTCTCGATTTTCTTTTTGCCATGAAATATATATGATAATTATTTTTTCGATGATAGACTATTATTCATTATGCAAACAAATTCATCATAATTGACTGAAAAATGATTAAAGAAAATTCGTTGATTGTTTTTATTTAGAATAAAATATTTTGTTTTTTGTATTTACTTCGTCCATCACCATCAATATCAGCTTCAGCAATCATTTCAAGAGCATCTTCATCGGTTGGACGATCACCAGTTGCCTGAAGAACTACAATGAAATAGATCATTAGTTATCAGACTTATTCAGTACAACTTCGTACCTGTACGAAGTTCTTCCATTGTAATAAATCCATTTTGATCGAGATCTATTCAAAATCAATCTTTCGATATTATGTTTTTTGATAAATAATAATCAATACCAAATACTTGAAATGCTCGAAATAATTCTTCACGTGAATTTTTATTTGTATCTACTGTTTTTTTAACCATACCTAAGCATTGAGATTTATTAATTAATAAAAAATTCAAAAGATTATCTACCAACAAATTCTACAAATGAAATACTACCACTTTGATCTTCATCAACTTCACGAATCATATCTTGTAATTCTTCTTCACTTGGATCTAAACCCATTTGATCAAGAACAATACGTAATTCTATTAATTTATATTCTTATGTATAGAAAATTTCATATAAGAAAATAACCTGCAAGAGTTATACTTCCCTAAAAAAAATATATAAGTGAATAGAAAATCATCAATAAAATCGTTTCCTTACTTACATCTCCATCTTGATCAAATACACGAAAAGCTTCTCGTAATTCTTCTAATTCTTCTGGACTTATATTATCAGTTGTTTTACTTGTTATTATATTATTTGGTGATGAACGACTACGATATTCACTCATTTGAAAATATAAATATTAAACAAGAGAGAATAGCGCGTAGATGTATAAAGTTCTTTTTCGATAGATGTCGCCAATGTATAATTAACTATATAATATAATTAAAAAATAATTCAGATTTTTCTTTTCCTATGTTAATTTTGTCAAATACTTTCAATAATCTTCTAAATTCTAAATAAATCTTTTCATCATTATTATAATTCGAGGTAGACGAACTAAAAAGCATTTTTTGATTGGTTTGTCTATTTACTTGTAAAAGGAGACCTTTTTTTTTAGTACATTCTATTCTATTACGTTTAATAGTAAAAATTACTACTCATTTATTTAAACTATTTAAGCTTTATACTAATTATGTCGATTAATCAAGCACATTATGAAGGTGGTCTACTACTTTATCAAGGTGAACAGTAAGTAAATCGATAAAATTATTTTGTTTATTTTTTTTTTCTATATCATTTATTTTACTTTAGAATTGTTAATCATTCTAAAAATGTAACATTAACATTTGATAATGTTAATCAAGAATGTGGTGAAATATTTCGTGGAAAACATAAAGGAAAAGTATTCGTAACAACTCATCGAATGATATTTCTTAGCAATGATCAACGAGATAATTTACTTTCATTTGCTGTAGCATTTATGTATATGAAAAATTTACATGTTGAACAACCTTTATTAGGTGCAAATTATATATCAGGCATAGTTGCTGCACATCCAAACGGTTAGTATTTTTTATTTTTAAAAATAGTATGTCTTTTATTCATCGCGATAATAATGATGTAGTCGTTTTGGAGGGGGTCGTCCGTGTTCATGATGATGGTGATCATCTTGTTCACGACGATAATGATGGTGATCATCTTCTCTATGACGATGGTGATGATCGTCTTGTCTATGATGATGGTGATCATCTTCTCTATGATGATGATGATCGTCTTCTCTATGACGATGATGATGATCATCTCGTTCTTGATCTCGGCGATGAGCCATTGTTGTTGTTCTTTTTGTTGTTGTTGTTGTTTTCTTTTTTAAGTGCGGAGCTTGTGATGCTCCGTCACATGCAAACCAACCATTTATTTTTGATTTTGGATAACCTGAGTTTAAATTTCCAGTTGTCGCATCGTAAACATAAACATGATGTTTTGTAAAAATAATATGTTGTTTCTTATATGTAAAGCCTGAGTGTATATATTCACTTGGCGGTGGTTTAAGAATTGTATCAATAGTAAGTATTTCTAAATCTTTATGATAATCGAATTCATTCAAACGATAAATTAAACGATTACGTATTAAATAAATTGAATTTTGATGAAATAAAGCAGCACGAGGATTTTGAGGATAATGGTGACCATATATTATATGTGGTCCATCAACAGACCAATGATTTCGTAATTTCCACAGACGATAATTACGAAATAAATATGTATAACCAGTTGCTGATTTAACACAAGCTGTAATAGTTGTATCATTTAGTGTAGGAAAAAATTCATTGATTAATTTTGGACGTGGATCCCATGAGCGTTTTCCTTTTGAATTATATTTCCATGCAAGATTGTCTTTAAATAAATAAAGATTATTATCAGGACCTTCACAACCTGTTTGAAAATCTTCCGAACACCAATTATTAGCTGGTAATATATTAGTAGAATGAGTCGTTACTATTGATGATTTAGTTGTTGTTTTTATTGGTTTAATAGTTGTTTCACTACCTGGTTTACCGTATAATGTTTGAATACCTTGTTGATCATCATGTGATATAACATAATCTGATTGAAATTGTTGATAAACAGGAAACATAAGAGAATTGGGTTCAAATGAATGTGCTAAACCGAGTGCATGACCAATTTCATGTGCAGCAACAAATCTTAATGTATATTGTTCATCTTTTTCGGAATAATCATCTGTAAAAATTTCATCATCATCAAAATGTATATCACCACTTTTTGGATAAAAAGCATGTGCTAATGTTGCACCTTGACCATCGAAAGGATATCCATCACCATGATCATTCGAACGAAATTTGATTATTAAATCAGCTCCTTCTTTTTTATTAAGCATTTCAAATGTAAGACCAGAATATTTTTCCCAATCTTGAAAAGCTTGATTTATTATACGACGTGTATGATCTTGTGATGTTATTAGTTTTTGATTTTTTGGATATTCTTCAATAAACCATTTTAAATGTTTTTTCGGCCATATAATACTTTGTGCTTCATAACTTGCAGGTGCTTTAACATTTGCTGAACGTCCTTTAGCTGACACTGAAGTACTAGCTTTATCAAGATTGACAGGACGTCCAACTGTTTCTACACTTCCTAAATCAGGATTTCCACATCGTGCTCGTTCCATAAATTTTTTAGTTTTTGCATCAAGTTCACCTGTTTCCTAAATTTGTTTTTTAAGATAAATATATTAATTCTTTACATAAAATAACTTACTGGTAATTTAAAAAGACGTTGAAATTTTTTAATACCATCATTCACAGATGATTTAGCAGCAATAGAAGAAAATAGTCGACTTTCAAGTTTAGATGTATAACCAAATTGTTGTAAATATCGATAAGAATCTACTTCTGATTTAATACTAATTATAATTTGAATATTGTGTATTAAAATGAAGTAAATAATATATATGATATGCTGCATTTTTTGTTATTGAATTGATTTTGTTGATGGACGCATCATTATTTATAGTGTTCTTTGGATTAATCAATTGATAAGATTATATGATGTCCATGACCTTTCTATATTCTTTTCTTTTTGTATTTTCTAGGTGGATTTCAAGGTGAAGTTAAATTTCAATTAACTTATTCATCGGGTGGTGCCATCGATGCGAGCATAGCGTTACGTGAGGTTAACTCAGTGTGTGAGTCATAAATGTTAAAAATGTCAATATGAAATACCTTTTTTTTCTCTTCTTTATCTTATAGTTCATCGTCAAACTGAAGGAGCTCCACCGTGAGTTTTTCTTATTTTTAAAAAATTTGTTTCTAGTTTTTTAATTGATTCTAGATCTTATGGTATGGTTGCAGCTAATCTTTATGAACCACCACCACCATCATATCAAGCAGCACAAAATACGCCTAATAATTTTGCAGGTAAATATCACAAGAAAAATAACAGTATTTTCCTTATGTAAAAGATTCTATTTGATTAAATTTTAGAAACAAATATGTATGTTTCACCGGCGCAAGCACCATATCAAGGTGTTTATCAGCGTCAACCAACAGGTTTACCGAAAGCAGAATTTATTCCGCAATATCCTGAAATGCCATCAGCAAATGTAAATAATTCTAATGGACATCCTTCGATGTCAAATGGATACCAGCAACCAATGCAATATCCACCTCAACAGGCTTATCAAAATAATAATTTTGGTGGACAAATGTATATTCCACAAATGAATGGACACCAGGTTTATTTTTTATTTTTTTCTATTATAATTTATTATAATAAGAATATTTTTTTAGATGCCACCATCATATGAGCAATCTCAAAATGAAATTCAACAAAAGAAATTTGAATAAAAATCTGATAAAATCAATTTACCAATGCTTTAAATGTCATATATATTTATTTATTTTTTAAATATTGCTTCTGTTCGTTTTGTATATCGTTTTTCGATGTCGTGTATACAATTTCAAAGTTCTGAATTTTATTTTCTCGCAATCAAATAATTTTTATTTTTTTTTTGTCATTGTGCAATAATGAGTATATGGAATGAAATAATAATTTATGTTGTAGATGCCTCAAAGGTCAATAACAAGTAAAGATATCGCATCATTGCCACCGCCTGGTTTTAACCTAGCAGAATCAATACGATTTAGTCCTGATGACAACCTTATAACTTATCTTCGCTCTCCGAATCAAACATTATCAAGACAACTTTATGGATATAATATTCAAACAGATAAAGAATTTATTTATGCTGAACCTGATGGAAATAATGAACAAGCAGAAGATAATCTTTCAATGGAAGAAAAACTTCGACGTGAAGTAAGAGGGTTTTTTCTATTTTTTTAAACATAGAAGATACTATTTAGATTCTATTATGGTTTCGAAAGAAGAAAAACATGCTATTGAAATTTTTGCTTGATCCAGTAGTTAAAATAATTCATTTGTATTGTTTTGGAAAGTTTTTTCTTGAGAAATAACAATATAACTTTAACAAGATTGAGAATGGATATAAATCTATGTGTAATATTATCGTTTCATAATTTATATATCTCGTTGTAATGACGCGTGCAGTTTTACTCAAACTTATCCTGAGTAGATATCATAAAAACGTGCATGCAAAGCTTTCGTATATAAATCAAGTGATTAAATCACGCATTCTGTAAGCATGCATATACTAATGTTCGTGTCGAAATAAAAAGAGAGAAAAGTTAAAGAATAAACTCCTAAAACTGAGTTCATCTGAATCTTGCGACATAGATTAAGATATATTAGCAATGTTAACCTGTTATATATAAATAAACAAGAGACATTATAATTTGTGTTTTGTTTTTTTTAGCGTCAACGCCAATTAATAACTGGTATAACTCGTTATCAATGGTCAAAAACTAAAAATCAATCATTAATGCTTATACCAATTGGTAGTGATCTTTATATTCATAATGGTCAAGAACTTCGTCTTTTGGTTAATGGAACTAATCAACCACCAATTATTGATCCAAAACTTTCACCCGATGGTTCTTTAGTTGCTTATGTTCAAGATTGTGAACTTTATTGTGTATCAACAACAGAAATATCAGCTGTACCACGTCAATTAACATTCGATGCACGTGGTCAACCAAATAAAACTAATGGTCTAGCAGAATTTATTGCTCAAGAAGAAATGGAACGTAGTGATGGTTATTGGTGGTCTGATGATTCACATTTTATTGCATTCACTCAAGTTGATGAATCAAATATTCCAATCTTTCGTATTTCACATTCCGGTTCTGATGATGCTGATCAAATTGAAGAACATCGTTATCCATTTGCTGGTAAAGCAAATGTACATGTTACTGTTGGTATTGTTGATTTAACAGATAATAATAAAACAACACCTGATATTCACTGGGTTGATTTAAGTTCATTTGATGATTATTACGTTGCACGTGTAAGTTTTTTTCCTGACGGTACTTTAGCTTTACAAATCGAAAATCGTGAACAAACAAAATTAGGATTATATCAATATGATTTTATAAATAAAAAGACATTACAATTATTAATTGAAGAAACAAGTCAATCGTGGATTAATTTACATGATATGTTTCATACATTAAAAAAAACACCAACACAATTTATATGGGCTAGTGAAAGAACTGGTTTTATGCACTTAGAATTATATGATTTAAATACTCGACAATTAATAAAACCAATAACCAATGGCGATTGGGTTGTACAACATATTATTGATATTGATGAAGAAAATTCAACTATTTATTTTCTAGCTAATCGTGAAACACCTCTTGAAGTTCATTTATATAGTGTTAATTATAATAATGATAAATCTACAATAGAACGTATAACACAAGAAGCTGGTTGTCATGTTGTTCATGGTTTTAGTCGTAATTATGAATATTGTATAACACAATGGAATTCTATAGATCAACCTCCAATTATAAGAATGTTAGATGTTAAAAAGAGAGAAATTATTAAAAACTTAGATCATTTACAACAAGGACAATTGCAAGCTATTGAACAATTTCATTTTGTTAAACCTCAATTATTAAAAATTCAAAGTAGAGATAATGAAACACTTTATTGTGCTATTTATAAACCAGATGATGGACAAGCAAAATATCAAAGACCATATCCAACAATTGTTTCAGTTTATGGTGGACCACATCTTCAACGGTATATACTTTTCTTCTTAATATAAGATGATTATAGTTTTAAATTTTAATTTTTTTTTGTAGTGTGGTTAATTCTTGGTCACTGCGTGCAGATATGCGTTGTCAAAGATTAGTTGAATCTGGTTATGTTGTATTGCGTTTAGACAATCGTGGTAGTCCAAATCGTGGTTTAGCTTTTGAAAGTAAAATCAAACATGATATGGGACATTTAGAACTTGAAGATCAAATTGATGGTATAAATTATCTTGTAAAACAAGGTATAACAGATAAAACACGTGTTGGTATGTATGGATGGTCATATGGTGGATATATGGCTGCTATGGCATTAGTTCGTGCAAGTGAAGTTTTTAAATTAGGAATTGCTGGTGCACCAGTTACACATTGGGATGGATATGATACTCATTATACTGAAAGATATATGGGTACACCAGAAACAAATCCACATGGATATGAAGTATCAAGTGTTATGCATTATGTACATAATTTAACAGGTCATTTAATGATCCTACATGGTTTAATTGATGAAAATGTTCATTTCCGCCATTCAGCTCGTCTTATTAATGCACTTATACGAGCGAATAAACCTTATGAACTTGTACTTTTTCCTGATGAACGACATATGCCAAGAAAAATTGATGATCGAATTTATATGGAAGATCGAATATTTGAATTTATTCGAAAAAATTTATAATTAAAACATTCATTTTTATTTGCTGATAATATTTTTAACCATGAATTTCTTTAGTGACTAACTTTTAAAGTAAAATAAAATACAGTGAATTTACAAAACATAGGAAAAAAAAAGATAGACAAATATATACATATATTTATATTATTTTAGATCTCGTTAATTTCCATTATCGTTATTAATTACGTTTAAAATGAAAGATAAAAAACAAACTAAAGTTGCTGTTGAAGGTAAATATTCTTTCTTTTATAAAATAGTTTTAATAAAAAAGATTCTGTTTAATTAGATTCAGAAGATGAAACAAGTTCAGAACAAGGTAATGGAACAAACGGGACAGTTAAATTAACTGAACAAGATAAACAAAAAGGAAATTTGAAAAATTTTACTATTTCAAAAAAAATAGTTAAAAAACTCAAAGGTAAAAAATAATAGTTTAGGAAATAAATAAAATATAAAATATTCTTTTATTTTAGCTCGTGATATTGAATATCTCTATCCAGTTCAAGCAGGAAGTTTTACAACTATTCATGAGCAAAATGATTGTTTAATTCAAGCAGCAAATGGAAGTGGAAAAACATTAGCTTTTGCAATTCCTCTTGTTGAATTACTTCAAAGTGATAAAACAGCTGAATTAACATCAGGACGAGCACCACGTGTTCTTGTTTTAACAGCAACACGAGATACAGGTAAAGATTAATACGAATCCTAAGAAATTAAAATTGTAAAAACTTTTTTTTATAGCTAAACAAATCTCAGATGATTTTCAATCAATCGTCAATGATCTATCAGTTGCAACAATTTTTCCAGCAAAAAAGAAATCAGATGATCAAGAAACAGCTATTACTAATGGTTGTGATATTCTTGTTGCAACACCAGATCGATTAAAAGAATTTATCGATGAAGAAAAAGTCGATTTATCTCAACTTAAACATGTTGTTCTCGATGAAGTTGATGATGTAGTTGATGATATTAAAAAAGTTCTTAAAAATGTTTTTTCATCAGGTAAGCATTGAAAATATCCATGATATTAATATATATAATTTCTATTTTATATTTCATCTAGAACAAGAATCAAAACCACAATTGGTTATCTTCTCACAAACAGCATCTGATTCTCTTCGTAAAGCAGTTAAAAAAAATTTGTCAGCTGATGCTGCCACTTTAAATTTGACTAAAACAAGTACAAAAGGATCAGCTAATGATGATGAAGATGAAGATGAAGATGAAGTAAAATTTAAGAAAATACTTTTTTTAATAAAATTAATTCTTTTCTTTTCTAATAGAGTGCTGATATGCAAACAGATAAAGCATCAGGTGAAGCAGATGACAGTTCAAAATCAGTTTTATCAAAACAAGCAGTAAAGAAAAAGTTTTTTATTTGAATTAGTTCGATTAATCTATTTAAATTTAGGGTTATACAACATATAAATTATCAACGAATGATGAAATAAAAAGCGTTGGATTTGTATTTACAATGTTACGTAAAAGTTTTGGTGATGATTTTGATGCTAAAGGCAATGTTCCACAAATTGCATTTACAAAAGATTTCAGAGTATGTATAAATATATATGTCTATATAAATGTTTAATGTGAATCGTCATAATTAGAGTGCCATATTCGATTTACCAAGCGAATTTGATGAACAATTACAAGGTTCATGGAAAGATAGTCCAAGAATTCAAATGGGACCAATTACAGAATTACCACCACTTGATGAAGCATCTATGAATGATCACAATAGATTTGCACCTGGTGGTGGCAATAGTGGTGGCAGTCGAGGTGGTGCTGGTGGTGCAAGATCAAGTAAGAATATATAATAATTATTTGACTTGTTATTTAATATCTTATTTTCTATTCTTTAGATGCATGTTTCAATTGTAAATATCCTTAAGAATAATATGAAATAATATGAATAACGATTATGAATAATTTTAGGTCAACAAGAAGGTCATAAATCTTGGGAATGTCCACAAGGAAATTCACGATCTCAACAAAATGGTAGATCTGGTAAGTTCTATTCAATTCTTTATTTCGAAAAAAATAAACGATAATCTTCTTTTGAAGGAGGCGGTGGTGGTGGTGGCGGTGGCTGTTTCAATTGTGGTAAAGATGGCCATAAATCATTTGAATGTACAGAACCCAAAAAAGCTTTTGGCGGCCGTTCAGGTGGTGGCGGTGGTGGAGAACGATCAAGTAAAATATTTTTAATTTCAAGATAAAAGACATAACAAAATATTTTTAGATGCATGCTTTAACTGTGGTAAAGATGGTCATAAATCATTTGAATGTTCAGAACCAAAGAAAGCTGGTGGACGTCCAGGTGGTGGTGGTGGAGGTACGTTTTCATTTAATAGTAACAAGAGACATGCAATGATTTTTATTTAGGTGCTTGTTTCAATTGTGGCCAAGAAGGTCACAGATCTTTCGAATGTACCGAACCCAAAAAAGCTGGTGGTGGCGGTGGTGGAGAACGATCAAGTAAAATATTTTTAACTTCAAGATAAAAGACATGACGAAATATTTTTAGATGCATGTTTCAATTGTGGTAAAGATGGCCATAAATCATTTGATTGTCCAGAACCAAAAAAAGAACGATCATTTGGTGGAGGTGGCCGCGGTGGTGGTGGTGGTCGTGGTGGAGGTCGTGGCGGAAGTCGTGGTGGATCTTTTGGCGGTGGTCCTAAACGCAGTTTTGGTGGTGACAATGGTTTCAGTGCTGGCGGTGATGCATCTAATAAAAAGATCAAATTTGACGATGACGATTAAACAAATTGAATTAAAAAAAAGAATTTTTTCGTGTTTTTTTTTGTTGTTTTTGTTTTCTACAATCATCGAGTTTTGTTATGATGTTTGTAGTTTTGTTGTTTCATCCGAATAACATAAACCAACACAATAATGAGATTTAAAAAAATTAAATGAAATTCTTCATCTATCAGCGACATCACATGAATCAATGACAAGGAGGTACTTACCATAGTAACTTATAGAAAAAGAAAAAAAAATTATGTTGATCAATCATTTAGTTTTTTGAGAATTGAAATCTACTAAATATAGTGAGTAAAAAAATGGTAAAACAAACAATTCAAATATTTTGTCGAATTAAACCAACAAAATCAAAAACATCCGTAATTAAAAAAATAGTGGAAAAACTCGTTTAGAAATATAAAAATCATTTTACTTTTAGGTTTATGAAATAAATCCTGTTGAAGATGGAGCTCATTTATCCGTTATGATTCCAAAAGAAGCCACGGATGGTTATATAAATAATAAAAAAGAAGATTTTCGTTTTCGGTTAGTTATAAAAATATAACTAGAATAAATAGAAAATAAATTATATATCATAGTTTTCGTCAAATATTTGATCAAACTGCTAAACAAGAAGATGTTTTTGCATTGGTTGCTCGACCAGTTATTGATAAGTAAGATTCTAGATATTTTAAAATGAATAAAAACTTATAATTTTTCTATATAGTGTTATTTCTGGATATAATGGAACAATATTCGCTTATGGACAGGTAAAAAAAAGTTTTTCAATTAGAGAAATACGATTTTATAAAAATTTATTATAAAATCTTTAGACAGGTTCAGGTAAAACATTTACAATAACTGGTGGACCTGAACGTTTTAGTGATCGTGGTATTATTCCACGTTCTCTTTCATATATTTTTCAACAATTTGGACAAGTTAATATATAATAAGAATTGTGAAAATATTATTACAATACTTTTTATTCTTTTAGCATGCTGATCAAAGTCATACGGTTCATGTATCTTATTTAGAAATTTATAATGAAAATGGTTATGATCTTCTTGATCCTAAACATGAAGCAGCTAAATTAGAAGATTTACCGTAAATATTGATTAGAGTTTGTTTTTTTTAATTTAACAGAATAATTTGATATCTAGGAAAGTACTTTTAATGGAAGATGAAGATCAAAATATGCATTTAAAAAATTTATCAGTTCATGCTGCACAAAATGAAGAAGAAGCACTTAATTTGTTATTTCTTGGTGATACAAATCGAATGATTGCTGAAGTAAAATTAAATTCATATTTGTACATTATATATATATATTAATCGTTTTTCTAGACACCAATGAATCAAGCTTCAACACGATCTCATTGTATATTTACAGTTCATGTTACAAGTAAAGAAATTGGTTCAGCAACTGTACGTAAAGCCAAATTACATCTTGTTGATTTAGCTGGGTTTGTAGAAATTATATTTTATTATAAACGAATTTTGTTTTTTCTTTCTAAATTTAGTTCTGAACGTGTAGCAAAAACAAATGTCAATGGTTTATTATTAACAGAAGCGAAATATATTAATTTATCACTTCATTATCTTGAACAAGTTATTGTTGCTCTATCAGAAAAACATCGTTCACATATACCATATCGAAATTCTATGATGACATCAGTATTACGTGATAGTCTTGGTGGAAATTGTATGACAACAATGATTGCAACATGTTCAGTTGATAAACGAAATATTGAAGTAAAACAAAAATTTTGATTTTTTTCTAATCTATTTATTTTAAATAGGAAACAATATCAACTTGTCGTTTTTCACAACGTGTAGCATTAATTAAAAATGATGCTAGACTCAATGAAGAACTTGATCCACGTTTATTAATTAATCAATTACGAGCAGAAAATTTACAATTACGTAATCAAATCACAATACAAAGTGGTAGTGAACAATTTACTGAATTGTTAACAGCTGAACTTATAGCAAAGTAAATTTTATAGAAACAAAAAAACATATATATACAGATGAGTTTATTTTTAGATTAACAGAACAAGTTAAAAATTATTTAGCTGATACAGATAATGAAGCAACATTAAATGTTGGTGCTGATATGCGTAAAATTGATCAATGTTATCGAGCATTTAAAGTAAGAATAAATTGTTTTTAAATTGATAGAAATAATTATATTTGCTTAGATAGAAATTACATCTTGAATTACAAGAACAGGTTAAAACAGCATCAACAACACCGAATAAAAATAGTCAACCAATTTATATAACACATGATATATCACCATATGATAGTAAAGAAGTTAAAGAATTAAAAGAAATTATTAAATTACGAGATAATGAAATAAGTATACTTGTAAATATGTTAAAAAAAGAAAAGAAAACAGAATATCGTCCATTTAGTGAAAGGTAATTAATTAATTATTTATTGGATACAATTAATTTATGTAGTTTTAGTACAACACCACCAACTGATAGTTCATTTTCCGCGAATGATCGAGCTGGTAATCAAAGTAAGTTAAGAGAAATATTTTCGTCAAGCTATTCAACTCAAATAAAAGATCATCAAGAACGTTGTCGGTGTAATCTGAAAATAGGTTACACTACAAAATACTCCAAAAATCTGATTCCTACAAATGATATATCAAAAGATGACCAGTTTTTCAATGAATCTCATAGCAGAGCTAAAAGACTGTAGAGACGATGTAGGATTTTGTAATATTTTATGAGAGACCGAAACGAATAAATAAATGTCGATTCGATTCGGTTCAAAAAAAACTTACATTCGAATACAATTCAATCCGTAATCGATTCGATTCGCGAACGAAATAGGTTCATTCGAACTCAAT